ATATTCATGAACTCGGTCAGCGGTGCCCTGGAGCCCTTCGGGGTGTGGCTGGACACCCCCAATCTCCGCCAGCTTCCACGGGACCCAGTGCTGGCTGGAGGGTGCAGGCCCACCTGTTCTGGCCCCGCTGTCGAGTGGGGTTATTCCAGGAGGGAAAAGGAGCGGGTGAGTCATCCTGGGGGCGGGTCTGTGCTCACCTTTGGCGGGTTACCTAGAACATGGAGGCACACAGCTGCAGACCCTGGACCGGGCCAGGATCCATCTCCTTTTCTCAAGATTGTTTTACTGCGTGGCTCAGCGGACAGGCACGTCTCCTTCCCCTCCCCCGAGTGAGAGCAGCCTGGCCGCCATCCTCCCCGCCCCCTCGGTCCCAGCTTCTCCAGGGCCATCTGTGGTCTGTCTCCAGGGTGGGACTCGCCGTGCTGATGGTGTAGGGATTATGGTCCGGGCACTACAGGAGCAGCCAGGGTGGAAGCAGACTGGGACCCAGTCCCTCCCACACCGAGCCCACCGGCTCTGTCCCCTGCACCCTCAGTGGCAGACACCAGGGTCCCACCCCGCTGGGCAGTCACCCCGGGAGGAGAAGAGGCTCCAGGAGGAGAGGAGAGGAGGCCCTGGGAGGAGGAGGAGAGAAGAGGAGGAGGAGGAGGAGGAGGAGGAGGAGGAGGAGGAGGAGGGGAGGAGGCTCCAGGAGGAGAGGAGAGAAGGAGGAGGAGGAGGAGAAGGAGGAGGAGGAGGAGGAGGAGGAGGGGAGGAGGCTCCAGGAGGAGAGGAGAGAAGGAGGAGGAGGAGGAGAAGGAGGAGGAGGAGGAGGAGGAGGAGGAAAAGAGGAGAAGAGGAGGAGGAGGAGGAGGAGGAGGAGGAGGAGGAGGAGGAGGAGAAGGAGAGGAGGAGAGGAGGAGAAGGAGAGGAGGCTCCAGGAAGAGAGAAGAGGAGGCCCCTCGCCTGTCCTGAGGGCTGTCTCACTCTGTTCTCGGCTCTGTGAGCTCCTGATCCATGAGGCCCAGGATCCCGGATGGAAGGCCCAGGCCAGGCTTCAGGGGAGAGGCCCAGAAGTGGTTCCTGACAGCCCACGGGGAGAGCTGGGGTTATTTTTATTATTTTAAAAAGATTTGTATTGCTTTTAGAGGGAGGGAGGGAGGGAGGGAGGGAGGGAGGGAGGGAGGGAGGGAGGGAAAGAGAGAGAGAGAGACATCAATGATAAGGGAGATTCATGGATAGGCTGCTTCCTGCACGCCCCACACTGGGGACCGAGCCTGCAACCCAGGCCTGTGCCCTGCCCGGGAATCCAACTGCAACCTGGTTCAACAGTTGATGCGCAATCCCTGTGCCACGCCGGCCGGGTGAGCTCTGGTTATTGTTAAACCTGAACGGATGTGGTGCCCCGAACGGAACTGCCCCCAGTTCCCGGGACAGGTGTAAGGATGCCCCTCCAGGGCGGGGGGCGGGCTCCGTGTGGCTTTGGGCTGAGATGTCATTGACAGGGAGCGTTCTGTCAGCGTCAGGAGCGCCACGCGAGGCTCAGCTCGTGCACACCGCGCAGTGGCCACCACGCCAGGTCCAGTTAACACCCGCCACCTGCCTTGTTTTTTCTTGTGACGAGAACTTTGAAGGTCTGTCTCACACGGACAGTGTTGGCACTGGGTCCCCATCTGCACGTCACATCTCCGGGACTCGCGCCAGCGTCCCCCACAAAGCACAGGTTCCTGACACGGGCTGTGAGCTGGAATGGCCTAAAGCAGAGGCGATTACTGTTAACTTTCACCAAGTGGCCAGGTTATGATGATCTCTGAAAGCATAATAATCTGGCCACTCAGCTAAGTGTGTGTATAAATATACTTAGCTGAGTGGCCAGATATATATATATTTATTAGAGGCCAGGTGCATGAATTCGTGCATGGGTGGGGTCCGGCCAGCCTGGCCAGGGGGAGGGGACATGGGTGGTTGCTGGTCAAACTCCTGGTCGAAGGGACAATTTGCACATTAGCCTTTTATTCTATAGGATAGATACTGATGGCCGGATGATTATGTGTTCAGAGATCATCATCATCTGGCGACTCAGTGTCTATGGACGATTTTTGAGCATTTCCAAGACCCCAAGTTCAGTGCACCCGCAGTGTCTTTATATTCATGGCGCTCCCAATGCCTGATCACATTCAGTTTTATGTGAACGTAACACCCCGAGAGCGTGGGCTTTCCGATAGCGCAGACACAGCTTGCTAACAGATGCACCGAGCACACGGAGAGGAAGCCAGCTGCTCAGCCAGCTCACAGCTCGCGGGCGGGATGCTGAGCTGGCAGGTTCTGGGGAAGGAGCTCGGGCTGCGAGGGGGAGGGAGGGGCCTGCATATCGGCTCCCTGCAAAAACAAACGCAGCGCTTTTCCTGCTTTTCACCTTTGCGAGAACCCTCTTCTGATCGCTTCCCATCCCTGGAGACGGGCACGGACGCAGGTCTGTGGTGAAGTGGCGTAGCGTGAACTTTCAGAGCGTACGGGACCC